AAAGGCCTACGTAACATTATGAGTAGTTAAAGGATTCAATTGACATCATAATTTTTTTATATGAAATATAAATGTATGTTTAAATATTAAATTTGCATAAATTAATAGATATAAACCTATAATTTTTAAAATATAATTAATTCAATGCTAATAATTTTAAAATTGAACTCATTACAAAAATTACGTAGTTCTTAATTTTCACGAAATATCATTAATTTACGAAACAATAACTTGTTACGTAAAACAAAAACTGTTGCAAATTATATTAAACGTGTAAAAGCAATAAATATTATGGAATTAAATTTCTTCACACAACCACTTTCTACAAATTTTACAAACATCCCTTGTCTAGATTATTCTAGATAAATGGGGCTGTCAACGTAACAAAACAAATGAAGGCAGAAAAATTTAAGTAATACAGTATTTTTTAACACTATCCCTATGGTTTTTATTCTTTGATAGCAGGCTAGGTAGTACTACTTTATTACATTACTCCTTTAGTTTCTATTTATATGTTATTTTTATTAAAATAAAATAAAATAGATAGTTCTTAATATTTGTTATTTCATAAAATCAATGCATAAATGACACTATTATTTTTATTTTCCTTCAAAATAAAGACTTGAAAGTACATATTTGCGCAACATAGAAAAATTAAGTAATTAATTCATTTTCATTGGTCAAATTAGTTAATCAAAGTAAATTAATTCATGTTCATTTATTGAAAAATTGACTTCAAGAGAACACTAAATGCGAGGGTACAATGGTAATTACATAATTTCTTAAAAAGTGTGGAATCTAAAATAGTGACAACTAAATAAAAACAGAGGGAGTATTCATTATTTGATAGTTATGATCATGAAATATCACCTATAATTATCAATTAAATGGTCTAGCTAATTATATAGTAATCGTTATGTATATTATTAGCGTAGAAAATTTGAAGTCCATTTAACGTGCTTAGTTGGAAAACACAAATTTTGGAGTTAAAAGGGCAAAAATAAATGAGCGAAATTTTCAATTAAAAAACTTTGGAGCTTATTAATTAGTATTATTACTACTATTATCAACAATTTTAAATTTAAAGAGTAGCAATAATTAAGAAATTGAAAGCAACGTTATAAAGTATGAATTTACTTTATAATAGTATCGGAATATCATTTGTATGAATAGGGAAATTTGTAATCATATTTTGGTGAAATCAAAGGGCTTTATTGTTTTCCATTTGGATTATATATGCATATTTATTTGGAAATTATAATCTAATTATATACACTAAGAATAAAAATATTCTTTTAAATATATTTCTTAGTCCTTGCAGAATATTGGGAACAGAATGTGTAACCCCACTTCAACCACCCCCACCCCCTCTCAAAGGCCAAATGCCTATTCTACTTTGCCATGAAAATGAACAGGGAAAATAGTTTAACGTAAAAGTGGAAATTAATAGAGAATTAAACAATGGCAAATTGCTCTTTAAGCAAAAGTTGATGTTCTGATTAAGTTGTTTGAGTGAAGTAAAAAGAAACACAACTCTACTAAACGTTTTTTTATTATTATTATTTTAAGGAGTAAGTCTACAGCCTGACATGCGCCTTACACGGTGCAAGCCAGCATGCGATTTATTGTAAGTATTATGTCAGCTTGCGCCTTATAAGGCGTATGTCAGACTGCACCTTACTCCATAAATTTCACGATATTCTCCTCCTGTTTAAATATTTCCCTTTAGGTTTGAGCCTTACTTTTTGTTGCTCTTTTAAAAATTTTGTTCAATTTTTTGTCCTTTTATTTTCGGACTCTGAAAAACATAGTCACAGGGACATAATAGGAATCTCTACCTAATTGTGGGATCTAACAAGATAAAAAGAATAAGAATAAAACATTTAATTGTGTAACACATGCAATTTTAATACTCCTTACCTGTCATCTATTTTGCATGTGCCATATTCAAATATATTTAGTATTAATTTCATTTTGAGAATAATATCTTCAAAAAATAAACAATTAATATTAAAAATAAAACAGAAAAAATATTCTTCTCTTAATATATTATTAGCGTCCAATAAAAATAAAAATCTTTAATAAGATAAACCAGTAAAGTAAACAGTGGAGTAATGTGAAAGCCTCGATCATAATTAGAATTAGGCCACATAATTTACTTTTTCTTTAATTCCACGTGGTTTGATCTTCTATCATACTCCACTAAATTGCACCGACTTGGATATATATATATATATATATATATATATATATATATATATATAAAGAAAAAAACCTATATTTAAAAAGGGATCAATTAGAGTAATAATTGCTTCTAGAAAAAACTAATTAGTAAATGATGACTTTTCTTAGAGGTGGCACATTTTTGGACTTTAGACATTACAATTCTAAGTTCAAAAAAGGTGAGAAAAAATAAATTATTTAGAGGAAAAAAAGACTCAACCTTGAGCCCTCAATTTTGAAGCATGGTCCTTAAAATAATTAATTAACCCATATGTGTTATTTTAGTTAATATTACTTAAAATTAAAAAATTAAAACCAATTTTTAAATGAGAAAGCTAGAAATCATCTTCTAGAAATCCCAAAACGTAAAGAACTCTTTTAGGTAGTTATACAAATCATATCTAATACCTTGAATTTTATTTTATTTTATTTTATTTTGATTCATGTTAGCGTGATATATTTTCTTAAAATAATATATTTATTAAATTATAAATTAAGAAGAATATAAATCTCTTAATTAATTAATGATTACAATAAGGATTCATTTTGTTGAAAGAATTTATTATTTTAAAAAAATATTATTAGTTATCTTTATAATATTTAAAATTAAGAAATTCTAAAATATATTTTAAAAATAATAATAATAACAATATAGTAAGAGGAATTATGAGAATCAATAATTAAAAAATCCTAAAATTTGTGATAAGAGAAAAATATATTTTTAAATAAGATGCCCCACAAAAGATGAAAATGTAAAATAAAATCACATTAGAAAAATTTAATAATTTTGCTATCATAATGTGACCTAAAATTTGGCATAAAAAAGTTCCTCACTTTTAAGTTTTAATATCTAATTGCTCGAATGCATTTTGTTGAAGATTTTTGGGATGAGAATAGAAATGAGCTAAAATTAGGCATAAAATAGCCCATAATTTATTACAAGTCGAATGTCATTCTTAAGAAATTTATTAGTATTTGTTCGGTAAACTCAAGTTTTTTTTTTTGGTGTTGATACCGTATTAAAGTTTGAATTTACATTGCGTAAGACCTTACTCAAAGAAAAAACTCCTTATCAAAAACTTTTTCATACTTAAAATTCGAACCCGAAAATTGAGGCTTTGAGTTAATAAGTGAACTGAAGTTTGTTATAATTCAAGTTGTACATTTTTAGTACTTTATCCATCCACTTGTTTGCAATCCAAGCTCTAAATTTGGGAAATTGTCCAACATTTCTAACGAACTGCCGGGGCAAAATTGAACTAAATGACATATTTTGTTAAAGATGTTAAGGTTTACAAGTTTTGTTTTATAGTCATAAATATGCCAATTCATGAGTTATTCTCTACTTTCTCCTTTTATTTCGCTTAAAAAGTTATAAATAAGAAGAATATTTTTATTAATTACTTTATCTATTCCAAATTAATTGATAAATGTTGCAGCATCAAAAGACATCAGTACATGGAATGTACGGTATGTAATAAAGATGAATGAAACAATATCTGAACCGGAAGAATACTGAAAATAATTTGACTGAAAGTAAAACATGCAATGTAATATAACAAGTAAAGTGATTGTTGAGTTGTTTTACACCCTTTAAGAAAAGAAGAATAAGACATATATTAGGTATATCTTTTCATTTCATCTTTATTAATGACTCCTTTGTCCTTAATTATTTGTTTACTTTTCTTTTTTTAGTTGTCCCTAATTACTTTGTCCATTTTAACAAATAAAAAAAGGACATTTTTTTACTTATTATACCCTCAATTTATTACTTTGAAAAATATAGAATTTCTTGAAAATCTTATTTTTTAATTCATCCACTTCATAATTAATATGGGTACAATGATAAACTCACTATTTCAATCATTATTTTCTTGATGGATGTGTCAGTTCAAAAGTGAACAAGTAATTAGGGACAGAAGGAGTATTGACAAATTTATGATTAAAATAATTAAACATTAATTATACTAACTAAATTCCAATACTAACTAATGAAGGGTAAAATTGAAGAATATTTTAAAAATAGTTTTGAAGATTGAACAATTAAGTTAATTTGAAAAATAAAAAATATTTCAATAATTCAATTAATTTGAAATAGAGAAAGTACTGCTTTTAACTTTAAAATCCTAACTTTATTTGTGTGTCATATTCATCAATATCAAAATTAATAATGAAGGAGTTCTCTTAGAATTTTACAACATTTATACTTATAAAAAAATAGCTTAAGTCCAAAATCTAAAAACATTAATTAATTCTATCTTTATCTTATATAATTGGTCAAGTAATTTGAATTTTGAGATAATAATTAGAGTATGGACAAATAATACAGAAGGGAAGGAAGAGATTGTCAAAAGGGGAAAAAACATTCTTCATTTAAATAGTTTAAAAAGAAAAGTAAAACAAATCATTTGTTTATCTTGACTTCCTTTTTAATCAATCATAACCAAAAAAAAAGTATCTTTCCCTTTCAATGACAATTCTTACAAGTTTAAAATTTGCATATAATATGCCTAACATCATAAGATTAAAAAATATTTTAATATAATATTTATCAGATAAATAAATTAAAATGGAGAAAGAGCGGATAAATGTATATTTAAAACTACGCCTGGTCAGTTATTGGACCCCTCTCATACATGGGACATAGTTTTCATCTACTCTAGAAAGGGAAAGGTAACAACATAAAAAATTTCTTGTAGACGATCGTCAAACTTGAAACTTTCATAAAACCAGAGTTTTCCCTCTTTTGATTCAATCAATCTTACAACAACTCAACACAACATCATTCAATATTCTTCTAATGTCAAAATGCAATTCTTGATTCACAATTTAATAGAAGTGATTATTTTATTCCCACTCTGTTTCAACAAGACTATTTACAGAGAGAAGAATAAGAATGTTCCATTTACTGTTAAAAGCATTCGATGTGGACTAGAAATGGTCTATAAAACCATAAATGTCGAAAATTCCAAAATCCAAGAACCCTGTTCCTTGTTAAACGTTATTACTATTGACCCACAAAAGCTTTCTATTGTTTGATTGTGTTTTTTTCTTCATATTGTTGGATTTTTGGTGGTTATGTGAAAATGGGTTCGTCGGAAATGGATAAAGGTTTAAACTTTGGTGATGAAGATGAAGTGGAAGAGAGGAAATCTGAAATGGGTATTGAGAATAAGGAATCGAAGAAATCTGAAATGGGTATTGAGAATAGAAATAAGAAGACAAAGAGAAAAAGGTTTTTTATTTTCCCTAAGTTCTCGTGTATGAGATTGGATGATGAATTTCCTGTTGTTGAGACACCTGCTTATGAAGGTGGATTCGATGTGGAGGCTAGCCAAAAGGGTCCGGGTCATGCTCCTAATCACTTAGTTGTCATGGTTAATGGTATTATTGGCAGGTGACTTGAAATCTTTAACTCAATTTTACAATAACTTAACTTCTCTATCTCCCCGAGGCAGGGGTAAGGTGACCCCACTTGTGAGATTACGCTGTGTATCTTGTTGTTGTTACATACTGGTACAAACTGATATTGTGGATTTATATCATTGCTGTTGTTTTTTCTATTTTCATAGAACTTGTAGGTTAATCATTTGTAAGTATGGAATTTTTCATAGATAATTTAAGTCCTAGCGTTGTTAGTACTGATACTTTTATCAAGTAAGTCATACCGAGCTTGATTAAAGTTAAAAAATGATCAAAGGATTAGACAAATATCCATAAACTCTCGAAGAGAGCGGAAAGATGCTATGGTTGAAAGATCATTGAGTCTTAACTTAGTCCTAGTGTTATGATTGTTATATGATGAGAGATCAGTGTGCTTTTAGGTTTGATGACTTGACTTGTCTGCTTCTGCAGTGTAGATGATTGGAAGTATGCTGCTGAACAATTTGTGAAGGCCTATCCACACGATATCATTGTTTATCGTAAGCTCCCTGCTCTTTACAGGATTTCCTGGTTCTATTATACTTCTATTTTTTTGGTCTAGTTGATTGAAGTGAGATTGTTATGTTAAATCTAATTACTTTGGAGTCGCAACTATCTGTTTGAAATGTCATATTTATATGTATGATTAACCAAAACACAAAAGCAGGCATGCGGTTTTTGGTAAGTATGAAGAAATGAATGTTGATGCAAATAAGAGAACTGCCTTTAATTTTTGATTGATCATACTTTTCTACATCTTTTTGTTCCCCTTAACTATATGGTGGATTGCTTTTTCTCTATCTCTAACCATACGGACAGAGTCTACTGACGAAGCTAGGTTAAGGAATACCAAGAAGGTACATGAAAGAGTACAAACTAGAAACTTCCTTCTGTAGGTTGAAGGAATGCAAAAAATCTAACATAGAGTTCGTATTCGGTACAATGTTCTTCCTACACCATAGTCATAGACTTTTCAAACATCTAGCTTTTACATTAAGTATATTTTCCCTACTATCATTAAAACATTTGCTATTCCTCTCCTGCCAAACATTCCAGAAAATGCAAGTAGGGAGTGCTTACTTAGTGCTACTTAGGGCAAGTTTTATGCAACCTGGCATAATCTATTTGACAGTGGAGCAATAAATGATTTACTGATTCGTTAGCTTCTTCACATAGAACACATCTGCTGCAAATAGTAAGACCTCTTTTCTGCAAATTGTCATGTGTTAAACAAGCTTCATGAGTGGCAATCCAAGTGAAGCAAGCAACTCTAGAGGGTGCGATGGCCAACTACCACAGTTTCTTCCCATTCTCCAAAGATTGTTATAGCATGTCTTTACTGGATATAATTTAAATGAAGAAATATTGGTGTTAGAACTCTTTTGTTTCTCAAAAGGAAAGTATAGAGGTCCTTGTAATAACTTTTGACTTTTGGCATTGCACTTCCAAATTTGCATTAGATATTCATGCTTTTCCGCTATCAAAATTCTAGCGGTCCATTAGTTTCTGAAAAGTAATATGAGCTCCAAATTTTCATTGATTGCATGTTTCCACAACCTTTATGCATCTTTCTGTCAGTCAGAGCCATATGTTTCCTGTGTTAATCTCTAACTTTTTTTGCAATTTAATATGCTATTTCCAGGCAGTCGATCTAATTATTCAAAGCTGACATTCGATGGTGTTGACGTAATGGGGACAAGACTAGCTGAAGAGGTATGTGAATCATTTGTTTCTTCCCCAGATTTAGTCAATTTAAATAAAATCTTGTTCCTCAACACAAAATGCTCCATCGATCTCATTTTATCTGGCCTACTCACTTTGAGAGTCATCAACATCTTTTTTGACCATGATTTTGTAAACCAGACTAGCTCATACAATTCGGGAAGAAATAGTAGTATTTTAATTGAAAGTCTTTTCTTCTTTCCTTTGAGTTTAATTTTCTCCAGGCCATTGTTTCAGTCTTAATTAGTATCTTTATCTGTCCTCAGATCCTTGTTTCAAGTTATTTGAATTCTGCGGTTATATAGACCTAAATTCTGCATTGCCTACCAAATATGTACGCTTGAAGCTATTGTCCAGTTCTTTTATCTTCCAAATCTTAACATACTCTATCCACCCTTGTTTGTTGGTTACTAAGGAATTTTACCAGTGTTGTATGATGTTGGATTTTGTGTTGTATTAGGATGAGATCTAATCTGATTCTTATTGTTCAGGTCAAACATGTAAGTTTAGTTATTTGCTAAACAATATCTACTTGAACTTAATTTTTAGTGACTGATGCTTCTCATATTTACTGTCAGGTACAATCTGTTGTAAAACGTACTCCACGTCTACAGAAGATTTCCTTTATTGGTCACTCCCTAGGTGGCCTGGTATGTAGATATGCAATTGCAAAGCTATATGAACAAAGTTCTGCAAGAATAGCTTGTGGACAAGATATGGAATGTAGTCTTAATGGGTCCACTGATTTGTGTGCGGAAGAGGTATCAAAAAGAAAAATTGCTGGGCTGGAACCTGTGAACTTTATAACCTTTGCTACACCACATCTCGGTTGTAGGGGACACAAACAGGTAATTAGAGGGTTTTATTCAATCCCCATTAATTTATTGCCTTTGTTAAATTCTGATATTATGGAGAGTTAGTTCACATTCTTCAGTAAAAGTGAAAGGTAATCATCCAAATGAGCTCTGCAACTTACACAACTAATGAGGAAATTACCATCAAAACTGGATTTTTGGTTCTCTCATGGTAGACTTCAAAAGAACATTTTCATTATCATGTATACTGTACTGCTGTACATTCTATTTTGGTTAAACTAACATTATCATGTATACTGCACATTCTATTAGATTAAACTAACTCACGAATGTCTCTGACTTTAAGTGGACAGTTAAAGGAGTTAGAAACTTCAGTGGTAATATGTCATTATCAAGGTTAAGTGTCAAAACTCCATTGTCATGAGAAGTACTAGCAAAGAGATTCATAAGTCACTCATCTAGTAAATCTGAGAGAATGCAATCGAAACTCATCTAACAGTATTATATTTTGGTTGCAGTTTGCACCAATACTTATACTTAGTGAAGTTTTATTTAACACTTCAGCATCTTGCATGACTTTGAATATTTTTGGTCTAGTTTCATTCTGAGCTTTGCTTATCATGTTAGAGCATGGTAAGTTAGCTGTATGAATATTATGAATCCCAAATAACTCAATTGCTTTAGTTTCATTCTTCTTCCGTCATGACAATATTTCTTACTTAATCCCAAAACTGGGCAGGCTTAGGAAACCAAGCTTTTAATGTCTCTTAAAAATATTGTAGGCTCCAGCATTCTGTGGGCTATACTCTGTTGAAAAGGTTGCAGCAAATTCCTCATGGTTACTTGGAAGAAGCGGAAGGCATCTCTTTTTGAAAGATCATGATGAAGGGAAACCTCCTCTCCTTCTTCAGATGGCCAGTGATTCCGAAGATCTGCCATTTATGTGAGTGAACATTGACTAACTCACTTCAGAATGTCAAGCAAATTATGTATCCTAACTTCTTCTTGCAGATCTGCTTTGCAGTCATTTAAGCGTCGTGTGGCCTATGCAAATACAAGTTTTGACTGTATCCTACTTAACCTCGTCATTTAGATGTGTATTTGTCACACCCTCGTCCTTTTCTTCTTCTCTTTCTTGTTTGTTCAATATTCAGTGTATTATATAGCCAGAATCAGGTTTCAGGACTTAAGTCCTTGATGAGATAATTCAACAGTAGATAAGTGTTTATGCTGATCTACGAGTCCTTAATTCCATATGTTAACTTATTTCCTATAATGTGAAAAACCTTAACACTTGTATAGATCTTGTTGGATGGAGTACATCATCTTTGCGGCGCAGAAGTGAGCTTCCAAAGGTAAAAGTTATGACATTAGAGTTTTAGCAAAAGCTTTCATCATACATCTAATACTTTTCTTTTCAGCATCGAAACATGAAAAAAGTGGATAAATACCCACATATTGTAAACGTAGATGAGGCAACAAGTGTTAGTTCTGCAGAAGAAACTCCTACTATGGCCAATATAAACGTACACAACTCTCAAGAAATGGAAGGTTAGTACCTTTTTTCTTTCTTTTCTAATGGTATTTTGAGGAGCAATTTTGAGTATGTTAGCCTTCCTTTTCAGAAACACTTACCTTTATTATCCTAAAATCGTGGATCTATAGCTGTTGATTCTGCATATTAGTTGCATCTTGCGATGTTCATACAGTCTTCTAGTGTGTTTTTTCGGAATGACTACACTGAGATGCATCAAAGAACTGCTGCCCAAATGAAAAGAGAGTATGGGTCCACTTCACACTAATTCCAGTAGTTTATGTAATCCTACCTTCGAGACTTAAGCTACTTGTGTCAATTGCATAAACGGTAGAATTTACTACTTCCTTAAGTAACTATCAAATACGTAGAATGCCGTACAGTTGATTGTTCATTCTGTAATATCAGCCATTTTTGTCAGATAATGGTTTTCAACCCCCACTCTGCTATTTCATTTTATTAGTGGCAGTAATAGATACCACTTAATTAACCAGGGGACTCTCAATGCACATTACATGGTTTTTGCTTTTAGCATTTTTATAATCAGCTTCATCATACTTTTTTGTTGTTTACCTTTTCTTATTGGTTAACTGCTGTAGAGGCTATGATCAGAGGTTTAACAAAGTTGAGCTGGGAACGCGTTGATGTTAGCTTCAAAGGAAGTATACAGAGATTCCTCGCCCATACAGCAATTCAGGCATGTATTTGTTCCGTCTTGAACACACTTTTAAGGAGCTTCTGCTTTCAATGTTTCTTCACTATAGATCATCATAGATTTCACCACATATCAGTCTATTATGATCTTAGGCAAATTCCTTTCTCATTAGCTATATACTCTGGGATTTTCATTTCTTGTCTATGTGTTTTCATTCACTTACTTAGCTTGAGGTGTTTGTTTTTTTCCCCGAGAGCTCATAAAAAATCCACCTTTCTCCCATACCTTGATATAACTCATGATTCGGTCATAAATTTGCATACTATGGGGTGATCAGATGGATTGTTGAAGAGTAGGTTAGACAATAATGTGGGTAATAAAGAATGAATAATTAGGCTCAAACGGGAAACTAAGCTTATAAATCTGTCAATTAATAGCTAGTTGGGGCATATGATTATATGAATAATGGATCTTCACCATCCACTTAGCTTCTTTTGAACCGAAGGTCTCAATGATCCAAAAGGAAATGTATAAAGTCATCGTGATCTTGAACTATTTGTTTTCAACGAACAGAAGCAAATTTTGTAGTTTTTTATGATTTTTTCATTCTGAATTCAAAACTCTAGGCATTGGTTAATATGAGGAATGGAATAAAGAAAGAGCAGAGGAGTTCAAAAAAAGAACAGAGCGGTCCTTATTGAATGTGTAGTTCGTCAAACGTGTTAGATGTATATCCAAAGCATTAGGACTATCCAGTTCTCAAGTCACACATAGATCTTAGGTTGCATTTTATCTCTCAACTTATGCAGCTCCTTCGTTCAAAAAAGAAAAGAGCGGTCCTTATTGAATGTATTGTTCGTCAAACGTGTTAGATGTATATCCAAAGCATTAGGACTATCCAGTTCTCAAGTCACACATAGATCTTAGGTTGCATTTTATCTCTCAACTTATGCAGCTCCTTCGTTCAAAAAAGAAAAGAGCGGTCCTTATTGAATGTATTGTTCGTCAAACGTGTTAGATGTATATCCAAAGCATTAGGACTATCCAGTTCTCAAGTCACACATAGATCTTAGGTTGCATTTTATCTCTCAACTTATGCAGCTCCTTCGTTCAAAAAAGAAAAGAGCGGTCCTTATTGAATGTATTGTTCGTCAAACGTGTTAGATGTATATCCAAAGCATTAGGACTATCCAGTTCTCAAGTCACACATAGATCTTAGGTTGCATTTTATCTCTCAACTTATGCAGCTCCTTCGTTCGACTTTTACTCTGTCACCTGAAGGCTGAAGCAATGCTGCAGTTTTTGCCAATCCTTTGCCATTTGGTTTCTGTTTTTTGTGCTTTGTTCCACAGGAAGGTTGTTTGCAGTAACAAATCTTTAAATGTCTTTCGTTTTACAATTACAGGTGCAGTCCTATAACATGAATTCCGATGCAGTTGATGTTATACAACACATGATTGACAATTTCACGTTATAGACGTAGGGAAGTTCTTGTGTTCGCTGGAGGCCTGTGCAATTTACAGCGCCTGCTACATAAATTGTAGAGGATACATGCATACTAATTCAAGATAGATGACAAGTCACCAGGTGATTCTTCCCATTTGGCCTAGCCTTGGTTGACAAAGCTACCTGGTACCTTTGCTCGTGGAAGGGGGAGCAAGCTGGCTCAGACACCACGGTCATAAAAAAGAAGAAGATAGAAATGATAAGTCAAAAGTTCAAGTTAAAGTGTATTACAGTTACTAGACCATATATAGTGCATTCATTTGTAAAGTTTTTAGCTTCCCACTTGGATATGTAGCTAATACAGCTTGTATCTCTTCAAATGTAATGACAAGTACTCTCTTGTATGCCATAACAAATCATGTGATCCAATCATGAAGGCTAACTTTCTTTATATTTCAGTTTTATTTTGGGTATAAGCATAGCATTTAACGCGCAGAGCGTTACATGATCTAGTTAATTAAAACAAACGATTAACTTGATCCACTGAGATTTAGTCCTTTTCTACTCCCATTCGATCTATGAGTATAGCATTTTAACGTGTAGACTGTTACATGCCCATGTTAAATAAAACAAACTGGGGTGTGCAAAATCTAACCAAACCGCAAATCGAGTCAAATTGAAAAAAAAATCGACTAGCGGTTTGGTTTGACTTGGTTTGGTATTAGAAAAAAAAACCGACTATATTTGGGTTGGTTTGGTTTTAACTAAAAAAAAACAACTCGAGATCAAACCAACCCAACATTATATATGTAATAAAAATTTATTTTATACATAAAAATATTTACTTTGATATAATTTTAAAATATTTCTTATACTATTTCATAGTTTTTATCTTTTAATATATTATTTCAAGTTTAAAACTTAGAATTCGGAATGGTCCAATAAAGATTATAGTTCATTGATGTTGATAATTATACTAAAACTTAAATCAAAATCAAAATCAAATTAATACTAATGCAAAAAGAAAATCAATTCAACATTGGTTTAGACAATTAAAATACATAATATAATTTTAATTTTTCTTAAATATTTATTAATGTAACTAATACTTATTAAACTTATTTTAGCATGATTTAGTACTTTTAAATTATGATCATTTTCATTATGACTTTGCAATATTTATTTTATATGATGATTTCATTATTATTTTTTATTGAATATTTTAGTGTCATCAGTACTCATCTCATATTTTGTGTTATTTTCTTAAGAAACACCTAAGAATAATTGTATTTTGGTTGGAGTAAAGAAATATTTGGAGCACAAGTTAATTATATGTTTATATGCAAACTTTACCGAAAAATTTCAAAAATCTGAAAAAAATTAGTTTGATTTGATTTATAAATTTAAAAATTAGACACAATGGTTTAGTTTGATATTTGAAAAACCCAAACCAACCCGAGGTTGAAAAACCCGAAAAAATCCAAATTTTATTAGTTTGGAAAAGAAAAAACAAAACTATCTCCTTAACTTTACAGAGCTACCACTTGCAATCCCATACCTTAATTTGAAAAAGAAAAAACAAAACATATATAGAATGAAAAAAAAGTCCTGCAATTGATGTGTACGTTAATGCAAGTCCAGTTTGGCCAAGTCCTACACTATCTTTAAAATAAAATTAAAAAAACAGATAAAAAAGCAGGTAACCCAATCTCAGGTTCAGGTAAGATTTGGTCCCTACCGTCTGACTACTGCCCTTAATGCATCATGTACTATTCAAATTAGCAGCTCTATTTATTTTTTCAACCCGATTTTCAAGATTTACTCAATTTATTTGGTTTAATTTTCACTTAACACAAAATTTGAGAAAGTAAAAATAATTTTTAAGTCTTATGATCTTAAATTTAAACATATTATGTGAAAAGTTAAAATTAAAGAAACGGTCTAAAAAAAGAAGGTGGAACAATTAAATTGAAAATAAGTTACTGCTGGTTCCTTACACTTCCTCCTGCCAAAACAATAATTGTCACTTTTTACTAACAAACTCAGTTACTTATTAATTTTGCAAAATATGGGTGAAGCCCATGTTTTAATTTGTGAGTTTTTTTTTTTGAAATTTAAAAAGTTCTTAATTGGGTAATAGAAAGCAGAAAAACAAATGTACCATAACCATATATATAACTTTACAGCTATTATTCCAGCCTAGGAAGGCAAACTTTTTGCGTGCTCATAGTTAAGTCCACTGTTCATCGTACAATATTTTAAGTAAGCATTTCGATATGCGATTGTAAATTTTGGGAAAATTTTATGAAATAACAAATTATTAATTCAAATTAAATATTATAACTATAATTTATTTTATTTGTAATTCGCAGCAAACATTTCCTTTTTTTGTGATCCGGTTCGATATACAATTAGTCATTTTCGGTATACAATTCCCCATTCGGTACATAAATGTATAAAATTCGTTTGTGTTTGTATAAAGTGAGAGAAAAGTGTATATACAAATACAAATACATATATTTCATTTTATATATTTATAATTATACAAATACATATCTTATTATACAAATTACAATGTATAAATAAATTTATACAAACTGAATAATTTGTATAAAATTGGATGTATCTAGCGAATTATACAAATCAAAAGCTCTATAGCAAAAATAAAATTTGCTAAGGAGCGCAATTATGCAAACTATAGCTATAACATACAAATATGATTTTTATGTTTGTTATATGTGAAAGTTACTAATTTTTAAAATTATGATTTGGGAATTTAAAATCATGACTTGGGATTTTTCAAATACAACAATTAACCCACAAGTTTATATTTTGTAAAATCAACCCACATTTGTATCTACTAACTATTTATTACATATGTAAATAAAATTAACCCACATTTATTACATATGCAAATAAAGTTTATAATTCATATCATTACTTTTAAAATTATTTATATCTCATATAACGATTATTCTCACCAACATAAAATTTATTATTACTTCAAATCAATTCCTATTTTACCATTTATATTTACTAATTTTATTATTTTGATCAAATTTATTTACCAATCAAATGGACCAACAAATGACTAAAAGTAACAATGTTGGTTTGTCTTCTCGGTCATATAATCAAAAAATGTAAGTTCAATGTGAGAAAATTGTCGATACTATGTGGGAAGATTATATTAAAGACTGATCACAACAACTTAAGTTCAATTTTATTTTTCATTAAATTAAAGTTTGATCAATAAATATTGTATTTTTTAAGAATAATTTTGTGATAGTGTAATATGCGATTTTTATAAACTTTTGTTTATTTAGTACAATTGTATAAGAATAAGGATAATTTTAATAGTTTTACAACTTATAAATTTTTATGTTCATGAGAAAACATATAACATAAAAAGTTTAAATATATATATATATATATATATTATTTAATTATTTTTTACACTAAATTATATATCTAAACAAAACTTCAAACTTAATATTATAAATTCATGATTTTATATTGCATCACCAAACAGCCAACACAGTAGTTTTTGTATTGTCAAAAAATGATTACTTATATCTGTCACCTCCATTATTATACCTTTGAAAACTGAATTGCCTTGTTCATTTGGTCAAATATATATTTGCCTTACATAATCTTTTGATCAAATAATAGTTTGAGGTTTCCAAGATTTCCCACTTATCATTCTTACTGCTAATGTTTATTGTCAATAATAAAAAGTGCAATGTCTACTACCTAGAAAATATGATTTTTACGATTTTATGTCCTAGTTAAGGAGATTTCTTTCAATTTAAGTTTGAAAATTTGAGCTAAACATGATTTACCTAAAAGTTCATTAGCAAACTAAGCAAAAATTGAACAATTATACAATATTTGTCTACTATGTGGAAGAAGAAGAAAAGTAAAATATGCAACATGTGTTTATGTACCAAATTGTATTAGTGATTTAATGAGGTGAAAATCTGCAATAATTAACCATGTTTTTAGTGAAAGAAGTGTTGTGCAAAGTACATTTTATTATGCATCGATTGATTTGATGACTGATGTAGACACCCTATATAGATAAGTTTTCACATAAAAAAAAGGTCTTGAAGAGAAGAAAGTTGTTAAACCAAGAAGATCGATCAAGTATATAACAATGAATTTTAACGATACAATGTGTTCATACTCATTTTTGCATAGGAAAAATGCAATTGGCAAAACAGTGTAGTAAGCTTCACATTCTATGTCAATGTCAATCACCATCAGTAATGTTTTTTCTTTAATATACTTGAATATTTTTTTTATATTCATTTTATTTAAATCGAAAATCTATCGATAACTTCTTTATCTTTTTAAGATAGAGATAAAGTTATATATACCTATTCTTTCGAGACTCTACTTATAAAATTACACTGTATCATTCGTATCCATGAAATGAAAATATTCCAATTATTTTATTGAATTTGACTTGGCAAATTGTGATTGATCGTGTGATATCATATGACCAAGTATGGCACAACTGTTTTTGCGTGGATTTGGAGATTACCCTTCTCATCATAATCAGGGCACCTGCACACTCTAAAACCACCCCCCTATACACACCTACTTTCCTAAAAATATGTCCTAATCTTTCTAGGAAATTATATTTACTTATTTCATCTCCACACTCTTTCAAAGTCGGTAAAGATATCGTGTTAAAATCAAACGTTTACCATCATGTCAAAAGATATAATTAACATTCTCTGTTTTAATTATTTGTCCACTTTTCATTTTTTAATTGTACATAATTAATTACTTGTTCATTTTGATAAATCAAGAAAAGACAATTTTTTTTACATATTATATCCTCAATTAATTACTTTGAAAAAGGTAAAATTTCTTGAAAATCTTAAGTTTTTTTAATTCATTTACTTCATAATTAATAGGGGTATAATGATAAACTTACTATGTTAATAATTGTTTTTTTTCTTAATATGTGTGTTAATTCAAAAATGAATAAATAATTAGGGGTAAATAGAGTATCATGAAAGTGTAATTTTATTTCTTAACTAAATTCATCAAACAAGCGTCATGTTTGATCGTGACTCTAACTCTCGTCATCCTGCCTCTCGTGGGCCTTGTCCAAAGCAGAATGTGGCATTATCCAACTCACAAGAAAAAAAATATACTACTCCCCGTACTTTCATATTTACTCCCAGGGGCGGAGCTACTGTATCGAAAGGGGGTTCAGATGAATTCACTGACTTTTCTGTAGATCCTATATTCGTATTGAAATATCAAATACAAAATACGTATATATTTCTTGTGAACCCACAACCATAGTGAAGCGGATGGCTCAGTGATCTCTACGCACCCAGCGAATTCCTTTTGTCCGCGCGTCGTGGGTTCGAAACTTGATGTGGGCACTTTGTTTTGGAATTAATTTTTCTATTTTAAAGATTAAAATATTTTATACAAATAAGAAAATCTGTAAATGAAAAGAATAGAAAAATAGTGTTTGTGTCCTATTCTAAATGAAAAACTTTTCAGCCAAATTTATTTTCAAAAATTAGGGTTCTAACTTTTATTTTTAATTTAATTGTTGCTATCCGACCTCTGTCCTCCGGTATGTATGTACTCTTGTCTCTTCTTTTTCATCTTTTTTCTTATTTGTTTGTTTTTACCCTGCATAATTTTCATTTTCAAAATTAATTTTTAATCTTTGATTTTAGGGTTATTTCACATATTGATAATTGATTATATTAAAATAATTGTTGTTTGCTTTTCAAAATCTTAACTTTTGAAGAAAATAATGGTTCTAGGTGATAATGAAACTAATCAAATTTATGTTTTAGGTGCAAAAATATTAATGGTGAATTTAATAATTTTAATCTCAATTAGAATAATATTGAAGATTATAGTAAAAATGTTCAAAATTTTATATTAAAAATTATTCACATTTTATAAATAATATTTTAATTTTTTTAATTAAATTACTCAAACCTTCATATTATTAAATTAAATCTTACAATAACAATATCTAAGATAATGTTTTCAAACATGACTAACATCTCATTAACATAATTTGTGTTTTTGTGATTTTTAAGATTCAAATTGTCATTCTTTTAGTGAATTAAATACTTGCATATTTATTCATTAATTTGACGGTTGTTACTTTAGGTTAAGATCATTGTCCTTTTTTTAAATTTAAAATCCACATGCCTGAAATTTTGGTTTCGCCTTTGTAATTACTCCATCTAAGAAATAACATTTCTTTCCTTTTTATCGACACATATTTAATTTTAACATTTCACATAACAGTTAAATATTATTAAAAAATCGTATCAAGTCAAAATCAGACGAAAACAATTACCATACATAGCGTGTTAAAGTTGAATTGCTCAAAAACCAAACTAACCAAAACAGTAGCAATATAGGGTTGGTGTGTGTGTGATATTTTACAAATTAAGAAGGGGACAAAGTGAGTGACAAATGAAAGAAAATGAAAGACCATAAACTACACCAGTGAATTCACTTGTCCCTTTATGCCAAAAAGCCCTCCCCCTCTTTTTTTAATCTGTGACTTCTCACTTCATTTTTCAAAATCCATATTTGTTCTATTAAATAACTCTATTAGTATTTGTTTTTACCTCTCTATTTTCTTGGGATTTCTGAGTAGCTACTGAAAAAGAGTCATTCCCTTTTCAGAAATTTACCTCTACTTCTTTTCTTTCTTCATCTACAAACAATGTGTTTTCATTCAATTCTTGATTAAACATTCCAATATCTCCTCTGATTTTTTTTGCACTTTCTTGTAAGAAGAAGAAAAATAATCCAATGGCATGTTCTCAATTTATAGTCTTTTGGCATAGAAATCTACAGACTATAATCTTTTTGTTACTTTTATTCATTTCTGGGTTGACACATGTTAGATTAACAGCTGAAGGTAAAAAGGGTCTTTTCAAGATTTTGTCTAAAGTTATAAAATCTTGAAAAAAGATTGAATTTTTAATGAAAAGTTTCAATCTTTTGCAGGTAGGAGAATACTCAAAACACAGACTGGAGTTGTTACTCAGGTGGGGTTCTTGAATCTTGATTTTTCTTTTCTTTCTAATTCAATAGGTTAAATTAATGAGGATTTGTTTTGTGTTTGAAAAAAAAAAACAGAGAAAAAATGAAGAGAAGATGATAAAGATGAGATCTTTAATAGGTTCAAGACCACCAAGATGTGAAGGAAGATGTAGAAATTGTGGACCATGTGAAGCAGTTCAAGTACCAATTGTGCCAAATCTCAAGAAGCAACAAACATCAAGAATTCATCATCAATTGAATGCATTTCCTAATTTGTTCTTGGCATATTCAAGAGGTGATGATATATCAAATTATAAGCCTATGTGTTGGAAATGTAGGTGTGGGAATTTTTTCTTTAATCCTTGATTAAAGATGGAAGGAAAAAAAAGATCTTTTTTTTTTGTTATGGAGAAAATAAGTTTCTTCAATTGTCTATATACATGAATATTAAGTTTGATTACCTTAGCTTAGCTTATAGCTATGTTTTGTAGGTTTTTGCATAATCAAGATTTGTGATATATCTTAATTTGCACTTTTGTAGTACCATCCTTTTCTCTTTCTTTCTTTTTTTTTCTCTTATGAAAAGAACACTTATAATTTAGGAAGTGAATTGAGCTAATTACAAGAGATAAAAAAAATTTGGATTTGCTAATTTTGGTTTGTTGTTTGATTAATAATAAAGGTAGTGTCAAATAATCATTCATTATTCTTAAGAGGCTATTTTTTGTGTTTAAAACATGGTTTAATGAATATGCATGGCTACCATATTTTTGTTATTTAATTTTTATCTAGTATAAATTACACAAATTTTGACTTGAAAACTTTTATTTTATATTCTATTTTGTATTTTGGCTTAACTTATTTTACTTCATATTCTATTTATTTATATTGACTAAACTTTATATATGTAGTTGTATTATCGCCAATTAAATAGCATTATCAACCAAAACGACCCCTCAATGTGTGTAACAGAGGGAGCAGTTTGGATTATTGTTCATCGCATTCTGTGAAAGGATACATAGCTGGTAGGTGTGACGTGAATGTGATGATAGTGAGAGGAGATTGGTTTTACTTTTTTTCGTTTTAATTTATTCGTCTGATTTTCATATGAATTTGGTATTTTAAAAAATACATTAAATGTCGCTATTGATCTTAAACTTGCAAAGTTATTATAAACATTTTTTAAAAAGGAAATATATTTTTATTTTTTTAAAAAAAAGTGAAATAAATTGAAAATGAGGAGTAATTTGAAAGAAGGAAAGTAAGAGTGGGGGTGCATGTCAGTGGGCAGTGTGCACTGCACAACAGCAGCTAGAGAAAAGGGAGGGGGACCTGCTCATGTTTTCGTATCTTACAAGATTTTATGTGTTACCAAAAGGAAAAATGAGAGGTGGTTCTTCACGAATCTAGAATTTTAGAATATGAATATATCGTAAAAAAAAAAAGGATTTGATCTCTATGTTTGCTGGATTAGTAACTCTATCGTCAATCAAATAGATTATTTAGAATATGTAGTTACATAAAATACTTAATTTTACGAAGAAATTATGAATTCACGTATCTGAGTTTTTACTTGGGCCTGGTTATACCTCGAATGTATAAATTGTATAGTACGTATGACACTCCCTCGTTTATTGTGTTGCTTTGCATGTGTCTTTCTGCTCACACTCGTGTGAGTGTGTAACATCGTTACTACTTTTTCTGAGTGTAAATATAGGTTAATTTGTGTTTTTTTTTCTTTTAAAAAAATATATAGGGGGTAGGGAAAGGAAAATAAAGAAATCACCTAATCTAATAAGGTGATTTGAACTTTGAAGTTACAATTTTTTTGGACTTGTAATTTGAGTCTCAAAAGTTGGTGTATATTTATTCTTATAAAAATATGTGAATCTCATAAATCTTTTTGTATAAATTAATGGCTTGAGTTTTAGTTATTGTTTCATAAAAATTGAAAATCCTTCCTTTTAGGGGGATTTGAGATTTCAAATCAAAATCTCGAAAAATTATTCAAATATTATGAACAAGCATTAACTTTTGATCTTACTGTTAAGTCTATTTCTTTCACTAATTTTATGTGAGAATTTGCAATTTATAAATTTTCTAAATATTTTTAATTCATAAACTTAAAACTTAATAATATATTTCGACTTCATTTTGAGGATTAATCAAACTGATTTTCTGTAAGAGTAAAATTAATAATTTACTTATCACAAATACATGCATAAAAAAGTAAATAAACACTCGATTTTGCTTGTCTATGAACTTTGTGGGCCTTTTCTAACCTGATGTGAAACAACTGTATCTCATCAAACAAAAGCCCATAAAACAAAAAGGCTTGAGCCCACTAATGATATTACGTGGTGCATAATATTTACAAATAATTACTTTCGATTCTTATAATTAAAAAATAGTCATTAATTATTATTATTATTATGATTATTACTAACATCGTAGAGTTTCAAATTCCACACATGAATGCATATTTTTATGATATGACATTTACCTTTTTCATTTTTGTTTTTTTTTACTAGTTAGTACTCCATGTTTGTGATAATACTTGGCTTTTTTATATACACAAGGGCTAAAATATTCATATTTGAGTAAATTTGAAGCTTAAAAATACGTAAGAAAAAAAAAACAAGGGAAATGAAAAGGAGCACATATTTTGGGGGAATTGGCAGTGTGACAGGTGATCCAGTTCATAATTTCACATGGAGTAAACTCAGACCAATAATTTACACTTTATGAAAAGAAAAGCCCCCATCTAAGAGGCCAGAGCCCACCTGCTCCCTTTATCTTATGTATGAAAGAATTCCGAGTTTAAATCAAAGTTATTGTGGTCGATCGAATAAATAACTAACATTTAGTCTTCACTTTTGATTGTTTGGTATGATATATAAGATAGTATTGAATATGATATAAAAGGAATGGAGAGATTAATTATATTAGTATTAGTTATACTAATATATAAATTATAGGAACCACATATTATAAGTACTAAATAACATTCTATCCCTTCTAGTTTTCTATTTACCAAAAATCCCTTAAAAATGATGTTTGCGGGATACATAGCGTTGTGCACGGGATATATTAGGTTTGATACATTTCACATAGCGGGATACATAGCGTTGTGCACGGGATACATGCGGGATACATAGCGTTTGATACATTCCACATAACGGGATACATAGCGTTGTGCACGGGATACATAGGTAAATAAGGGATTTTTAAATTTTTTGAAATAAGTAGGGATAAATGGATATTAAGGTAAGTAAAGGAGTGTAGTTAAGTAATTTGTCCTATTTCTTATCCATGTTTGATAGGATATATAAATTAATTCATGTAGTATTATTTTTGTTAACCTTTCTTCCAAACGAACCCTAATAATCGTCAAAATCTAAATGATGTCTCATATTGGTTGTGCATGAGCTACTTAAAGAGTTCATAAAGATTTTTATGTCATTCGTGTGATGGCGATATTTGGATCGGATTAGGTTACATACACTTCAATAATTTCATCGGATACCTAAAATTTATCTCTAACATAAGTTTCATATAAATTTACCAACAAAGATTTAGATTTTAAAAAAAAAAAAACTTCTAGTATTTTCTATTTTCACTAAGTTTTTAATTTTCAATCACATCATTAATCAGTAGCTCATACTCTTAATAGTCGCATTTTGAGGTGCTCTACTTATTATTGCTTTGAAGGGTTTAACTTAAAACCTTATCTATCATAATTACATTTTGAGTTTTATAATAAAAGCATAATATACATTAATTCATATTTTGTCACGCGTTTTCATCTATAATAAATATGCATTGATATAATTAATATTCTTTGCCTGAATACAAGATATAATTAATATCAATTGCCTGAATAAATTTTTTCTCTAATGCCTATTTAATACAACTCTTTAACTAATTATGTTTTTCAAAAAATATAAACTATAGTTATGATTCGTAATTACGCTATTATATGTCAATTAATGTTTTTGACTCCAGTGTTGGACCCTTCATTAAATTCCTTCTACCGACGCATCCAAAAAACTTTAAATAACCAATACAGATGTACCTATTTTTAACACATAAAGTGGGAGCCTCAGCCTCACACTCCCTTTTCTTCTCACACCTCATCTTCTGTACTCTACTGGTAAGTTTCATTTTTTTTTAATAACACTATTTTATTATAAGATCTATTGTTTTTTAATATCTGATTTTTCACACAGATTGTATTTTAACTCCAAGTAGTTAAAACATGAAGAAATAGCAATATTGTGAATATACTAAACATGTTGAAGCAATCATCAAGTAGGAATATGAGGACAAAAGGGTTCAAATTAAAGCATGTTTTTCAAGGATTTGCAATGTTTTTGATATGTTTGTGGTTGATTTACCAAGTAAAACAGTCATACAGCAAGACAAAAGTGGGTGAAAAATCATTGAAGGAACAAGATTTGCAAAAAGCTGTGAAGTTAGGGAGGAAAGATCTGAATCCCTTGCTGTTAGATGAGTTAGCTGCTGAGTTTCAAAAAAACCCAGAGGAAGATCTTGAATTGGAAGAATTAGATGAAGGGAAAAAAGATGAGAATGATGGAGATGATGAGGGTGATGGAGTTGGAGACCATGAACAATTGGAAGATATAATTGATGAAGATGCAACAAGTATAGATGCAGTTTGAGGGGGAAAATTTTTTATATAGTAATAGATAAATAATTATGAATTAGAGTGTTGAATTGCCCTTGTTTAGTATTGTAATTTTGGGAAAAGCCAAAATTCTAACTGATGAAGATGTAGTAGAGGAGTGTTTTAAGTTCATGCTAATGAGTAGTAGTGTTACTATGATTTAGACAGACAATTGGTATCAATTTGTGTGTATTTCAACACAAAATTAAGCTTTCTGCACTCTTAAATATGACTCATTTCAGTTTAAGATTTTGTTGATGAAAGAAATTGGCTACTGCCAATCATACTCAATTGCTTCAATTATTCTATGGCCAAATTAACACAAAATAAAGCTGATACAAAGTGTCAACTAAAAAGAAAAAGTAACACAGAAATGAGGGATCCACCTTGCATAAAATAATACTAGTAGAAGACAAAAACTTGGGTCATTCCAAGTAGTCTAAAAATTCCAATAAGAAAGTTTGAAAGATAGATAATCCTTCGCATTGTTACAAAAGCCAATCAGAAGAAAAACTAGCATTGAGACATTACAATAAACCATGAAAGCATGCTTCCCCAACTAAAACTCTGAGGCCTCAAATTGCAGCAGCAAAGGCAGAAGTTGAAAGGAGTAATATCCGATAAATCTGCTTCAAGCCACTGCTGTTGATTTGGTTCTATGGACTCTTAGTTTTGACCTGTTGGTGTGCATTCCACTGCAACAACATCCAAACTATAGATGTGCCTGCGAGAGAGAAAATGGAACTCTTTAGACAGTCTAAAGTGGTGTGTGAATTGTGATCAGGAGTGAACTCAATTTACTGCAAAGAAAGAAAAGCATGTGCTGATGCAGGAAGATAATGTCACTAATGTGGCTGTAGTTTTTCGTTACCTCCAGATCATTGGAACTTCATTTTATAGTTAAACCACAAACATAGGTAAAGATGTTCAGAAGTTGATAAAAATTTCAACCTTTTTATTAGAACCATCTAAAAGATTTGCTTCGTCATCTCCTTTTTCATTAAGTAACTAACATCTTTATGTAGTAAATTGGGCTTAAGCAACCAGCACTGCACTCAAAAGATAGGCTTTGATTCATAAGAAGAGCAAGTTGCAAGAGTTCAATTAGCGCAATCAAAAAGTTCAAAGGGAAGAAATACGGGGAAGTTTGATAAAGATTTTTCAGAAAAGTTAGGAGCACAAGCAGGGTCTTCAAATGATTAATTTGCACATTCAGTGACATGCTACAACTAAATGAAGCCAGTCCATATTAGAAGACGCTTAACAGAAACTTTACAGCACATGATACTAGGTGAATAAAGGTCGAGTTACAGATTATATCATTTGAAAGCAGTTCTTGCCTTTTGAAAGCACTAGATGCCTAAATCCATCTTTACTTCCACTGTTTTAAAAGCAGACCAAACCCAGGGATGGAGGGGAAACACCGAAAACAATTGCAAGATCTAGTAGCGCTAATTATAATTAAAAAACTCGAGAAGGAACAATACCTGCAAATATACCGACGGTAACCAGATTTTTTATTGCCATTGTCTGATAGATCAAGAACTCTGTCAAGAAATGACCGAAGGCATAGACAAATGATAAAATGGTTGCCAAATACAAAGGTCTGTCATGAAGGTTAAATGCACAAAGATAGCAAAGAGTGCAGGTTAGCAGAGTCCACACTCCAAATGTCCTCCCATGAACTTCTGTCACTGCAACATGATAAATAAAAAAAGAAGAAGTTCCATTATAAAGATAGTATAAGATTGTGTCAAGTAACGTGTGGTAATTTCAATGCAATTGCAAGTAAAACCAGTGATACCAAGCAATACAAAGTATCATCACTTGTCAAACTTAAGATGCATGACAGATATGTGCTTACAAAGTTGCTGTTCTTGAAAGTTATTCAAGAAGTTGAGTACCAAATGTGTAATCAAATATGTTACTGACTGCACTACCAGTAACTTAAGGTTCTATTTTCACGACAAAAGCTATACCTTAGAAAGTTGCAACCACCAAATTCGCACATTGTTGTCCACATTTTGAGCCACTTGACCCAAGTCAGACGAGAAATATATATGTCACTCTTACTGGATGATAAAGCATACTATTATAGGTGCATTGGGGTCAAACAAGCAGTATTGCAGCAATCAAACAAGACGAACAAACTCTCAGATTCTATCAACTCCATTCTCCAGCTAGATTGAAGAATAACACAACATAACCCAAATGAGATGACATACTATGTATCTTTCACAAACTTAAATAGAACTTTTTTACGAAGTCTTTGTGATGCAATTGTAGGAGAAAGGCTTCTCTTAGAAAGGATAGAACTATGTGGAGAGTTTGGAGGTGATATGCCCATTTGTGAATTACCAAATTCTGGCCGAGGGGAGCAATTTTACCTTTTTATAAACAAACAGAATAAGAAGGTAAGAATGAAGTGAGGCATGACAGAAGTGCTACAAAATACTGCATGTAAAGATATGGCACCTGGGCCTAACTCAACCCCAAAAGCTAGCTCCTGAGGGGAGGTTTGTCCAAGTCCATATACGGAGACCAAACGTCCCATCCCTCTACCGATGTGGGACATCTTAACACTGCAAGAGAATAATATATTTTCTTCTAAAATTAAGAGCTAAGGCCAAGCTACAGAAGTTTATGACAATCACTTCTCTTAACTAATTGTGCTTATACATATCCGAATAAGGTTTTAAGAAATGATTCTTATTCAGTTCCTTATTTAAAAAAATGATTCTTTTCCAGTTATATGCAATGTTTGTGGTCAAATAGAAAAAAATAGCTTCTTTTTGGGAAAACTCTATCATCCTATTGCCTATAAAATCATGTCAAGGAAATGAAGTCAAAAGACAAGTCTTGAGCCCAAATGAATGTGTTGATCCGTTTACTCATTCTTATCGCCATTTCAACCCTATGGGGTAGCAAATCAATTCAACAGTACATAGTCCCTTATTCATTTTCCTAATCAAAATGAAAAGCATCTAGTCTAGGGACAAATCCAAAGTTTCAACTCATGTATCCAAACTGCCTCTGCTCGAATTATATATATGTAACTAATAGATTTTTTTTCCTCCTAAATAGTGTGCGTGTGCGAGAGGGAGTGAAGGTGATGTCCACTCCAGTTTGCATGCACATTGTCTAATCCATCGGGCAAGACTATTACATCCCATAAACACAGGTGTAAGGTACATCGTAAACCCCAATAAGACTATAGTAAATGAGCTCATAATGACTACTGTAGCTGATTCAAATTATATCTATACTAAACTCGAATCTACAACCACAAAGTAATAATAAGATTGCACTGGTAACTAACCCCAATACTACAACAACATATCCCATGAAAATCCACAAAGTGGAGTAGTGTACCCAAACCTTAGAGCGACTGTTTCCGAAAGACCCTCGGCCCAATACACTAACTTAAATTCCTGATCTGTCAATATATGATCCTCGATATTAACAAGATATAGCTAACAATGGCATAAAATCACCAAAAAAGCACTTTATTATGAGACAAATCACACAAAATAAGGCGAAAGCAAAGGGATATGATTCCTAATACAGATTCAAGTCAGATCACGAGAATGTAAAAAAGCCGAAATGAGCACTAAGCGTAATATAAGCAAAAAAGGTTTGTACACTTACTGGTAGTTTTGGAGAAAACAGCGAGACGAAGAGCCCAAATGTCGACGAAGCCAAACCATACCGATGCAAGCCGAAGTGTACCCACTAGCATTAACCACCATCCTAACAGCTCCATCTCGTTATCTCTGTCACTACACACACGCACTTTCTTCTCTCCTCCGCCCCGGTTCCTATTTTGATCTACCAAACAGTACGGGTCCGATCCGGTTTCTTAAGCCCAAAGACCCAAAATGAAACTCCTTTAGGCCCACATATTTTGGCTCACCATCTTCATGGTAGGCTAGTGAATATTATATTTTAAAAACGTGTTACTTTTAGAATGCTATTCAATACATACTAATGGATATTTTTTAAAGAGTTCAAGTAATAGAGGGTTACAATTGAGTTCGATAGTTTTAAATATTTAAAAATTCTCTATTATATTCATATGGTTGGTATTAAATTTGATTTTCAGTTGTTTGATATGGTAAGTTAGTAATCATGAGTTGTTCGACTTTAACTTATACACATGTAATGAAAAATTATGATTTTGACGATGGTGGAAACTCTTTTATACTTTAGTGTATAAAATTTGTCTATATTATGAGTTTATGATTATGTGTAATCAAGTATTTAGTTTATATTGAGTAGTAAAGGCAATAATCTTTTAATACAAAGGATTTTAGGCCTTTTATTAGTTTATATTTAGACTAATTACATTATTATTTATATAACAATATAACAATATAAAAAATATATAAAAAAATAAATAAATAAATAAAAAAAAATATATATATATATATATATATTTGTATACATAATTAGGTATTTTGTTACGATATTTAGTATTTTTTTTTTAAAAAAAAATAGCGACTATCGTCACAAATACCTTCTTTTTTAAAATACATATCAAACATCGTAATATTGAAATCTATCGAAATGTGGAAATATTTTGGATTAGGCACAATAATTCGATACTTATCAAAGTTTTAGCATCTGTATAACTAAGTTTGAGATTTACAAGTTCATTTAGAAACTTAAGCATTATATTAATGCAGACAATTGAAAAGAAATGAAGCTTAAAATTGGAGTCTACCACACATCTCTAATTTCTACATGAATAAATTAGGCACCAAAGAAAACTGAAAACTTTTAGATGACTAATAATAATTAATACGTGTGATATAATTGTAATTAGTATTAAGCAAATCATGAAGCATAGCTTGGTACTACTAGCTAAAAATCAAGATAGAGGTGTTCAGATGAAGAGGTTCCCTTGAATAATCTCTCACTACTTGATATAGATAATAAGTGTTGAAAACAAGTTTAACTATAATGTTGACAATAATAAAAGTTTGGATAAACATTCTAGTAACAACCTTAAAGTATCATGTTACAAAAATTAAACGAGGAACAACAAATGAAGAGAAAATAGGTAAAATGAACTTGTTAAAAGAATGTGCCACCAAAGTTTTTAGAATAAGTTGTCGAGGACAATTGTAATGGTGAAATCATGTTTATATTAATGTGATGTATTTGGATATGTTTCTTTTGACTTTTTATTTGTAGGGACTAGGGAGTAATAAATATGGATAGTCTTTGCATGACCTGACTATTAAAGCGTATTAAACATAGTTATAATCATATAATGGTGATGTGTATATTCATGTGATATGTTCATATGTCTCTTCTTTGGCTATTTATCAATTTTGAATATTGATCGTCATTACATTATTAATATGTAACGTATTAACTTGAGGTCGTTGTCGTAATGAATTAAATTGTCGATGAAGTTGTGGATACCATTTTCTTTACCAATTGTAGCATGAATTCCAAATCCAAGAAAAGGAAATGATAAAGAAAAAGTACAAATGTAAATTAAGGATTGTGATTTGTCCTTAGAAATATATGAAAGGAACTTTCACGTTACTCTGTCTCTAATTGTCTGTTGTTAAGAGTCACAATACATACATTTAATGTTATAGTAGGAGGAAATTGTACTAGTGGAACGGAACGTAGCAATATATGTTGAAGGTTGGTCAATTGAACGCCCTTTTGTAAAACCTTGAAAGTTATCCTTGAATATCTTTGTCGAAATTTCTTACACACATTTATTACCATAATTAAATGATAGATGTATATGTATAGTAAAAAATTTATTGATTTGATATAAATATCTGATTTACCGAAATAGAGAGGAACGTGAGTTCTGTGGCGTGATGGCGGTATATGGAAGAAAGAGTGCTTAGTTAAGAAGCAACAGAGACAACGACATCGGATTCTTGTTAGGAATGACTCATTCTGAACTTATTACAACACCAAACACACTCAGCATAATAAATGTTACTAGTATAACATCTCTGCCAGTACAATATTGACCAGTTTTAATCTAAAGACCAGATCCCCACTTCATTTACGTTTCTACATTGAAAATAGTGAACAAGAATAGAATTGAAGGAACTTTGTTTAAAGGAAAAATTCTTACTTTTGTGAACAGGTGTAGTAGTAATTATCTATTGATAGTTGAACATTATTTTGGAAGTCTGATTTATTTTTTCTTCAGATAGAGCCTTTTTCAAATTTAGATACATACCCTTGAAGAAAATTGTGTAAACTATTTGAAGTGTAATCATTTTTATGCAATGCATGTTATTTAACATTATTCTTATATAATCTTTCAAACGAACTGCTTGTAATAGTGTTGGGCATGAGTGGCTAGGCAATTTGGTAGTAAATGGGCCGACCTAGTCTTGCTTCGACGTTCAATTTGATACATTGACTGATAAGCCCAGGCTGTTTGTTTCAATTTCCAATTCCCCCACTAACACTACAACATTGGTCCCCCACCACCTCACTCACCCACACAAACCACAAAACAGTTGGCCTTTCTGCTACTGTTGCACCAGATATATACATATTACCAACACCACTCTATAGCTAAATAGGTCCCCCACCCTCAAGGTCATTTTTGAAAAACTAACTCAAATACAATATTTCCACCTTAGCTTCTTAAAATCTATGTTCAAATATATCACATACTTTATTTTCCTTCCAAGTCAGTAGCATAGCTGGCAAATCCCTACCATTGTACCAAACCACAAATTTTCCCATATTATAACAACATTACAGCTATCTCCCATATTAAGCACATTAATAATCGTTTCAAACTACTGGCTAATTACATATTTTACGTGCCTAACTCGCAGTTTTCAATGCTTGCGTGCACGCACGCTACCCCTCATATCCGCTACACATCATAATCAAATACTAATCCTTAATCATCTCATTTAGGTAAATACAAGATTTCAACAGTATATCCATCAGTTTGCAAGTAAAAACTACTAGTTGCAGTATTGGGACATACCAACAACCAACAAGTATGCTAAACTCGAAAGCAATATTTGACATTGACAACCTTGCAATAGTGCAGAGAGTTTACAAAGAGCAACACCCCAATTTAAGGCAAAAAAAGTGCTCTGTCAGTCAAATCCCCCACAATCTCTGTACATATTGAAGAAAACAGCCTAATAATGTTCGTTAGTAATACTAACAATCAACTAGTGACCGACGATATCTAAAACTCATCGCCACCATTTACCACTCACAAGTAAAAAAAAGGAATGAGAAAAAATAGTTGAAAGAATTTCAGGAAAGTAAATCCTGAGAAGGACACAATTCTTTCCTAAGCTTTTGAGAGAAAAGCCTGCAAGCATCAATGCTGAGATCAATGGCAGCTGACAAAGCCACGAATGCCGCTGCGTCTTCCGTGCAGTTCACGTGTTGTACGCTAACTTCCACTGTAGGTTTACTGCACTTACTTCCACCTTCACCTTCCACGTTAGCCGACATCACAAAACCTCGATACATACAATAAGGCCATAATCCATACCCAAAGTCACCGCTTCCTCTAGGGCTACACGCCGGTGACGTCGAGTTCACAGGTGTCGACTTCCCATTAGTTGACACGCTCGTTCCAAGGTCTATCACGAATTTTCCACCTTTGCTACAGCTTAATGTCGACTCGGCTAGCACTATTCCAGTTGCGGCTGAGTCTGGGATTAGCTCAAACCGGTAGCCAAGCCCGTCTGCTGAACCACGTTCGCGCCACGCCTCCAGTTTACCCCATGGTTTCCATGTTCCGTCACCTGGCCGGAGAATTAGCCATGAGCCGGGGTTGGACCGGCTTACCCTGTCTGAACCGGGCGAGGCTACGAAAGGTGTAACCATTGACGCAGCGGCGACTGGTGAACCGGAGAGATCGTGGACTGTAATTGACCATCCCTTTCGCTCCTTCCCTGGTCGCTCCCTTTCGCTTCCGAACGAACTTAACCATCCTCGTGAACTACTATGCTCCAATGGCAAAGACCTGCAAAATGCAGTTCCGATTTCGTTAAAAGAAATTGAAAAACTCGTGAGTAAAAAGTGTTCCGAGGCGTAATGGAAAAGGGAGAAAAAGTGGAGTATCTTGCTTTAAACGAAGTAGGTATCTGTTGAAGATTTTTTCCAACTACATGAAGAAATGACTTCTAATTACTGACATTGGAAGCTACTTTTTAAGCTTTAATTAGGAATCGTAAAATTAACTATCCCGTGCAATTTGAACATCTTTTGCAATTGAATACTGGAAAATTCGAATCGTTTATGCGGCAAATGTAGTGTGAGCTCTAATTGTGCAAGTCAAGCCTGTCGGTATCAGAACTAAAGTTGAAAAAGAAGTATCGGAACCAACCTGGACCTCTGATTACGGTCGCCGGGGGTACGGAAACTGAATTTGCATGTGAAAACAGGTTGACGAATATTTCCTTGAATTTGAAATACTTGAGGACTGCATTCCGGTTCTCCGTCGAACTGAAACACGAATCTCGGGTCGGGTTCCGCCTTAACACTCAGATGAAACTGAGCACTAGAATTCTTCGCTTCCTTTCCTATCACAATCCAGCCATTGTAAAATAATACTGACCTAGATTCCGTTCCCGCCAGATCCAACGGTACATCAACCTTCCCTAGCAACCTCCCAGAGTTCACACCACATGTCGACCCTCGCCTGCCGGTGTAAATTGAGATTTGAAGGTACAACTTCCCGCCGCCGAACAGAGACTTTGCAACCAGCTTTTCGAGATCAGACTTGTTCAGATGAAAACTCGCCGCATGACTTTGTATCTGACTGTCCGGAAACTGACTCTCCGGTAAAATGCACGGTACAACCGCCGTCTGGAGAGGAAAATTCTTCAACTTGATTTTACAAAAACACGGCGACGACGACGACGACGGATGCACGACGGAACGAGCCGGCTTCGAAGCAACCGGAATTTTTAACGCTAAATTACAGACACTGAGCCTCACGAAAGGACACGGATCCATTCTGGTTTGTGCCCACACTCAGTTTCGCCAAGTTCTGTAAAGTTAAAGGCAAAATTGAAGAACTAATAAGCGAAGCGTAGGATAAAGAAAAACACTAGTGTGCGCCGTTGTTGAGAAGAAGTTTAAATAGAATCCATAGGGATTTGTGTACAGAATTGGCTCCACTCGAAAATACTGTGTTCATCTGTAGGAAGAAGACGACTCTAATAAGCTCCTTTTTCGGTAATGTAAAATCATAAAATAAAAAAGAAACTTTGTTAAATGGAATATAAAATTATTTAATTATTTGTTTACAAATATTCATTGTACGGAAAGGAGTGGTTTATTTTAGCTGCTAAATAGAAACTCTGTTCGTGTGGTTGGATTACAGCTGTGTACAACCTGGAATGGCTTTTATGCCAGTAGAAGTTTTCCAATTACCAAGTTACACTTATGCCTACTCCTAAAATGACTTTTATACCCTTGGGTTGTTGTCTATCGGGTCCCACATGATGATCTCCTAACAAATTGAGACTGAGGAAAAAATGCAATACATGAATCTCTTTTTTATCTTATTATAACAGCAACTTTAACGGGTCGTTGCCTACACCGGAGCGATAAGTAATTCTTTATTTTTAATTATAGATTTTTGAGTTTAAATTTATATACATTATATTATGTAAATAATAATAATGCAAAAAATAATAAGTGGATAACTCAAATTTCATCTAGTTACTAAACGATTTCTTATTATTGTTATTGTTTTTTTGAGTAGATAGTCTATCGAAAATAATTTCTTTATTTTTTCGAGATAAGAGTAATGTCTTTTTTTGGCAAAATCGTCTTATGAATTTCTAATGTATAGCTTTTTCAGTCTTTCACTTATAGAGTTACACTAAATATATTGTTGTTTATATAAATATCATATCTTAGAATTATACCGAATTTGTTATTATTGTTATGAGTTATGAGTATCTTTGAAACGTGGATGTCGTCTTTTTGATTAAAATAACGTCGGCATGAAGCAATATTATAGTTGTATGTATAGTTATCATTATAAAACTTTTCTAGAAATGACTTAAATTTTTAAAAAAAATTAAGCTTGGCGGATTTGATTAATTTAAGGAGAAAGTCAGCAAGAAGGATTAGTGGTATCCAATTAAGTATGTTAGTAGCTAATCATGTTTGAGGGGTCAAATAGAAGAGGAAATAATTGTTTATGAAATCGTCAAGAAAATATTGTAATTGATCACCAGCTTAGCTAGCTGCTGCTGTCAATAAATATTTAATGATGTTAATATAAAAGGTTTGTGATTTTTTTATGTTACTCTATAGTTATTAATTGCTATTTTTGTCGTTTGTTGTGTTATTGTTAATACTTGACTACGTATTGTTTAATCAAGAAAAAATATAATCGTAGGCTGTAATCTTGCCATAGTTAAATCAATCTAACTTCCTAATTCACCGATTTCAATTATTTTCAAACATCTGATTCTGAATTTGAAAAATGACACGAGAAAATAAGGGGAAACAGTAAATTTTGTCTCTTAAATATGGAAATAGAATAAGTTTGCTCTTCGTTTGAATTTAGTTTTATAGTCTTTTTGATCAAATTTTTGAAAGGTCGTAGTTTGACTAAGTTTTTAAAAGAAAATAAGTGATTGTTGGAGATATTTTTAAAAAACACTTTAGAGAAAATACACGAAGCACTTTTAAAAAGTTTAATCAAATAATAATTATTACTTAAAAAAATATTTTTAAAATTTATTAGTCAAACATAAATTAATTCTCATCAAAAATATATTTTTTAACTTTTCAAAATAAATTAAATTTAGAAGTTAGTCAAACATGTTATTATATGCCTTTATTGTTAGTGAACTGGTTAAAATTTGCCAAAGTTGAGTAAATCTTGAGATACTCACATTAATAACTAATAAGAACATCAAATTTAATTCGAAGACAAAGTTAACTTAAGTGTAGCCTAGTATTCGTTGAATTGAGTTAAAATTTATGAGATCATAGATTCAAATTTCAATCTAATCTACCCTTGCCTTGACAAACAGAATTAGTTGATACCTGTTGCTGAATCGGACACCACAATTATAAAAATAAGAAATTAATGCAACTTTATTTTTTTTCCAATAAAACAAAGCACTAATTGCCAAAATGCAGCCAGATGTACTGGGCTATAGGATGTTTTGGGCTGATTAGTGTTAAGCAAGAAGTTGGTCAACCCATTAATCTTGATGATCCATATAAGTGGGGGAACAATAAAGGTCACGGACTACAAATGGGATAGACTGGCATATAATAACTCACAAGGCTAACAGTAGATGCAATGAGATGTATATGTTTGTTCTTTTATGTGTAAGAATCACACTCAGGTGTGTTTTGTATGACCTACTTGTTCTGAACTATCTTTTTCATCAATTTTTTGGTGGTCGTGTTTGATAGTCTTGTAATATATAATTGGTTGAGCATCTTTACCATCAACCGATAGGTTGAGTGAGCGGTTAGTGATTGAGTCACGTTTGATGGATAAAAAACACTATTGATCCTTCTGGAGTGGGGGTAAGTGATTTATATATATTAGTAAGGAGAGTAGAGATACATGTGAACCCAAGCTCTGCCTAAATTAACAACTAACAGCAAAAAGTGTTATTGTGGTAATGAAAATCTAAAAGTGAAATTTTACTTCAATATCGCCGACAAAGGCAGGAAAATTAAACTATTTGACACCAATTGAAGGAACAATTTAACCTTTTCGAAGTAAAGTTATTTCCCTCAAACATGTCACCTACTAATAATAGTCAACATTTACTTCTTATAGTTATGTCCAACATACAACTACTATACTGCATTATATTATACAACAACTTTTATATTAATTCATATAATATCAGAGAAAGATTAAAATAGGTATGGTAATTATGACTAGTTGAAAACATTACCAAACATGCACACCCAAGTTGAGGAATTGTGTCCCAGGATCTTTATAAGATTATTACCCATTTGAATTCGATTAGGCTGTGTACTTTTGACTATTCTCGTTTTTCTAGACCCTTTTCTGAATTATATTCACCTAATTTATGTTCTCAATATGATTTCATAAACTATTCTTCAGTCACAATGACCTTTGGGTCTTCGACGGGGAATTCCTAGTAAGTGCGAGTTATCAACTCACGTTATATATATCGTTCATCTTCTGTCGATTGAATGATCCGGTGAAATATTCAGATCGATACGGATACCGAAGGAATTAGGCTATAGTTTTCAGACTTAATGCTATAAATCTTTTATTTTTAAAAATATATTATTTAAGTCAAATTCACCTCAAGGTGCAGACTGTAAAAGATGTTGGAGGGTTTGAAGTCTAAACCACAAGACTACAAATCAATACATATTTTAAATAATTAGACCGTGAATTTATCTAAATAATTTAAAGATCTTTTGTTACAAAAATATACACACACATATAAGCTTGAACCAACGACTCACCTAGTGAAAATTCACAAATAGTCAAGTCCACATATTTTTCTTAAGAAATTTAGAATAGGGGTTATTTCTTAAAGTTGGGCCAAAATATGATCATTAGGAGCTATTTCTTATAGGGAAAATTGTATGAAATAGCAAATTATCAATTTAAATTAAATGTTATAGCCATAGTTTATTTTAATTGTAATTCGCAACAAACATTTCCTATTTTTGTCATCTGATTCGGTATATAATTAGCCATTTTCGATATACAATTAGCCATTTTATAAAATGCGTTTGTGTTTGTATAAAACGAGAGAAAAGTGTATATACAAATATAAATACTTATATTTTCGTCCTATACACTTAGAATTATATAAATACCAAGACTTATTATACAAATTACAATGTATAAATGAATTTATACAAAACTGAACAATTTGTATAAAATTTTATGTTTGTAGCGAATTATACAAATCAAAAGTTCCATAGCAAACATAAAATTTGCTATGGAGTGCAATTATGCAAACTATAGTTATAACATACAAATATAATTTTTATGTTTGCCATATGTGAAAATTGTTCTTTCTTATAAAATTACACGTTTCTTTTTCCTTACAAATGAGTTAATTTTTAATTTTTGTCTTTCAATGATTGAACTTATGCCTACTGGGGCATAAATTCTTTAGAAACTGAAGTAATATATGAACATAAATTGGAAAATATTATTATAAAAAAATATAAACTATGATAAAATTATTTGTTGCAAGGCACATAAATTAAAGACCAAAACTAGAGAAGCAAAAGTGTAAATGATCCGGATTTATTTGGGCCAGACCAATTGTTGTTCTACTACATCCAACACTCAAATAGCCCAAAAGGCAATTAGGCCCAAATCCTAAACGACGCCGTAACATTAGCAGAAACTGAAATCATCAGAAGATAACGAAGGCAATCCACTTCAAAGGTTCCATTAAACACAGCCAGAAGAAGGAAAAGCTTTGTAGAGAACAAAAAAATGTCAGCCTCGGCCATATTCGGGTTGCAGATGGCGGTGTTGCCGCGTTCATCAACTGTTTCAACCACCGGATTCACCGGCGGAGCCACCAGGTTGGCGGCGGCACCGACAAGTGTTGGGGGATTGGTAATTGAGTGCTCATCTAGGCCACAGAAGAAGGCCACAGCTCACCATAAGAAGACACGGCCACGGAAGACTCAAGCTTGGGATATTCGACGTGGACCAGCTGTTTATGCTCCGTTGCCTCCCTTACCATCGGAGTGGTCATTTGCCAGTGATGAATCGGGTCAACCCGCTGCCGCCGGAGCTTCAGAGTCCGACGCCAAATCTGAGTAATTTTTCTGTAATTTTATAATTTGTCATTCGGCTTTGTATAATGGTGTTTTCTGTTTGATACTTTGGGGAATTTTCGCCCCGTTCTAATTTGCAACTTGTTCAATTACAGTCTTGGCGCAATTTTGAATTGAATGATGCTCTATTAGAAATGTATTACGTTTAAGTTTTCAATCTGTTCAGTGATATAATAGTAGTAATGTTAAGTTGCGACTACATAACGTCTTCAAGAAAATGTCGTAGCTTGCGATAACACAAGATAAAGATACTAAAACAATATTATAATGCATATTCTTATGTATCAACCAAATCCCAAAGCATTTGAGTATAGCGTTGGAGATCGGGTTTAGGATACTGCATACTGGCTTTACTCATACCTTAGAAGCTAAAATTTGTTTTCAATAGATTCTTGATTCAAATAAAATAAAATAGGTAAAGCAAATATAATGGAGAATCAAATGTGATCGGACAAGGCTCCTAGCAATGGAGGAAGCTAAGCGGTCTCGTACTAAAAACAATGAAGAAGAAAACCGTAGCAATATCAAATACACTTCTTTAACCACTGTGTGCTGCGTATCCTATGTTTGTTCCAGCAATGAGTATGCATATAAGGCATATACTCAATTCAGTTACACTATGGTGTGACCATCTTGACTAGGTTCTAAATATGACAATCTTAAAATTCAACGTATGCAACTTTTCCCCTGTTAAAAACACTTTGTTGAATCGGAATCCTTTCAACATGGTTAACTATGTTGCAAAAACCACAGTGATTCAGAAACATTCCGATCAACAAAACACGAAAAACCAAGCTATCCAGTAGATTAGAAGCACCAACAATGTACATTTTATGTTCCTACTGTAAATGGCTTATTTACAAGGTGGAAGCAATTATTTGCCCTTCAAACACAGGCATGTTCACCCTCCAGCCAACATTTACCAAGGGCACAAGCTTTCTTGAATCCACTAAATCTATCAATTATTCAACGACAGGAAACGAAAGAGACCCCAAGCTCAGTAGATTGAAATTGTGTACCCAAGGGGCAAGCTTCCAAAATAGCAACCATTATCGAGAGAGCTCCTTCTGCACTTTCCACCAGTGTCTCCGATCAGCTTATAGAAATTGCCACAGAAATCTTTGCAAGATTCTATCATCCTCGTGCTAGGGGGGAGGATTCCTTCCCAGTAGTTCCATTTAAAGTAATAGTTAACGAGGAGCAGATTTTCGCAATTTCTCATTGTTTCTGCTTCACAAGGCTCAGGAGAAAATCAGTGAATATGTGCTCATACTCTGGCATTTTCCCATAACCTGCAGCATGGTATAAAAGTATTGCAATCACGACTTTCTTCAAAAAGTGGTGCACAACAATCAAACTACTTTATCCCAGAAGGTAAGTAATTCTACTAGAAGGATTTCTTACCAGGAAAGTAATTAATATCTATGACATAATATCGGTCTTTGGTTCCAAGCTCTCTAATTATATCCAAGTTGAAGAGACGGAGACCCTGCACAAACATTGCAATAATATTTTAGGAAATTACCTTATGAAGCAAGCAGAACCACAACTTGAACATGAGAATGCAGAAATTGTAAAGCAAGTACCAAACATCATTTACGGCATAATTTATGGAAAGAGAAACAGAAAGCAATATACCAGTCTACGTCGAAGTTCCTTAGCAAGCTTCTCAAGTAATGGCCGCGGAGGAAGCTCTGCAAAGGATAAGATGTTAAAGAAAATCATGACCAACCATCCAAGATTTACTTCAGGTCTCTACACGTAGATATACATAATTAAATGCACCAGTACACAATATGTCATCCCGAGTAGAATGGTATTCACCTAGGTAAGATGGATGTCACTGGTCTGATCCAGCAACATGAACTAAATACAGTATGTAACAAATCCCACACACCTAAGTGTTCCAAGGCAATACCATCTTGCCACATACGAAGAAGCTTTCAAGGATTTCCAAACACTTTGTATCTCTTTAGTTTCTAAATTTCAAACCTCAGATTGAGTGTCCTATCTGTGAACTACTTCAAATGGCATCATACACCAAAGAACCATCACGACTGGATGGCCCCCTTCCTAACCAATCATTTCTTGTAATCCTCTCATAAAACATCATCTAAGTATGATCCATTTAAAGCACTTCCGGAAACAAATGGAGGAAGGTTATTAACCAGAAAATGATCTTTCTGTTCCACATAATCAAAGACCTATTCTGCATTGCAAGGTTTTAGGAGTAAAATATTTGAAAGTATCATCTTATTTGAGTTTCTTAGTAAGCAAGTGTTTAAAATAATAGATGAAATGTTAAAATGTAAAGTATCACCTTGAAAATGTCATCACATCAAATTTGAAACATAGTTGCATAAGTTTGAATTATTGAAATGAAAAGAAACCACGATCGTTAGAATGAATATAATAGCAAAAATGTTCTTGTATTGGGGCAGAGACTGCAAAAATTGTAAAGCTTATTGTTGGCGGTAAAAGATCAACGTTAAAGGAACCCATTCCAGACTCCTGTGATCCCATGATTCAAAAGAATTAGAAGCTCATGGTCCTAGAGAAATCTCAACAAGACAAAAACAACTCTAAGACAAGTCATATAAGATAAACATCCTTGTTAGGAAAATCTCATATCCAGTAATGACAGCGACCCATTCTTCCTAGCTCTTGGTGATCTATAGTGCTAGCTTCTAAAGAGCTTTATAGAAACAATTTTTTTTAAAAAAATAAAAATAAAAATTTTGGACCAAAGGCCCGTTTATTTCTCATGAAATTATCAATACACATCCAGGCTAGTAATTACCCGTTTTAAACAAATGCCAGAGAGCCCAAAAAAGGAAATAAAAGGACAGCTTGGTTTGGGAAAGACCAATATTGCCATTTAAACCAAGTTGTCCTTTATTTCCTTTTTTGGGCTATCTGGCATTTGTTTAAAACGGTCTAATTACTTGCGTGGATATGTATTGATAATTTCATGAGAAATAAACAGACCTTTGGTCCAAAAATAATAAAGAATTTGTTTCTATGAAACAAATTCAATAAATGAAATAAAAAAATAAATATAAGAAGCACTTATTTTTCGTCTGCTTTATTCTTCTAGTGTATGCCAAAAATTTGTGCACTCACATATCTAAAGCAACCATGATGTATTTGATGTATCAAGAAAGAGAAAGTAGTCACTGAGGGAAAAGATGGCTCACCCCCGACAGAAGGGTCTAAATCTGCTTCATCTGCAGATGCAGCAGCACAAGAAACTCTTGGGAATCGAAAAACCCCAGGGTTTTTTGACAGCTCACGCTTGCTAATATCAGGTAAACTGAATCGTCTAACAACCTTAACTGCTTCCCCAACAATGTATACTTTAAACAGAATTCCTCCTACAACCACAAGAAAAATATACATAATCATCAACAAGACGACTTATAAACATCTGCACATGGAATGGAAGGCACAAGTTCATTATTTCAAATAATATACGTACCATGGTTGATAAATTCCTGTAGCACAAGTGGGGGTTCTAGCATCTGAAGAGAGAATTTGTCATAGGCTAGAGACAACTCATGGGACTTAGCAGCCAAAGGCTTTGCAACTGAGAAGATAAAAGAAGCCCAATTCAGGAATTTCATGAACATATTACTTTGTTTACATACTGCTCTAGTTTGAAAGAGATCAGTATCAAATTATTCAGATGCTTGTCCCCAGTAAGTTACACAGTTGCAATTTTGATGGCTACAAGCGAGGTACAGATCTTATTGAGTTTAAAAAGTGGCAACTGCCCAAGGATCAGTTGATTAAAGACGAATGAGGAGAAAAAACATACCAATAGGTAGTCTCAGATCAGCTTTACCTACTGCATCTGGAATAGATGAAGAATCTTTCTCAATAACCAGTTGCCTGGGAACACCAACTTTCCCTGTCAGGCAATCAAAAATAAGTTAATCCATTTTTTCACTGATAAAGTAAACCCTACTCCTCAATCCCCCTTACCCAGCAGCCCAGCATTTGGCCCTCTTCCCACTTCTTCAAACCAAGAACAAAAAGAAAATGTGGCAATCCCAGTTCACACAGCTTCCCAGGGCCAAAATACTGCAATCAATTGTTCTCAAATAACCATGAACAGACGGGAAATATTACCATAGGTGTCTGACAAATTCAGGTCCGCAACATCTTCAAGCATGTATTGGCGGTTGTATACCTGCTGTATGGCATCCGGAGGGTCAAGAACTGTGACATCTGGATGCGTTAGCCTATATTCCTACACAGAGAGCAAAGAAAAGAGCTAAGGAGAAAAATAATGGTTCTTCCTATACACTCAGTTGATTAAACTAAAAATAGGCCCTAGAGAAACAAACATCAGTAAAAAAGCAGAATAAAAATAAGGCGAACAGAGCACACTGAGTTCACCTTTTCCAACAACTAGTCTAGTATGATCCCAACTACTAATACGCCTCAATCCAAGCAACTTGGGGAGCATTAGAGCGGCACTTAAAAAGGAAATATACCAAAGATTAAAGGCATTGATTAGGTTAGTGCTCTCCTCTTAAGCTGATATGAGGATTGTGATGAGCCGCGGAAAAAATAAGATCCATATATGGAAACCAGGAATCCTATCTGCAATCAATCAGCTAATCTGCCCACGAAGCTCAAGGCTTTTAACACAATTACCAAGTCATGATTCATGACAGGGGAAAGAGCTAGCAGTCTGCAAGTTATGTCAGATAGAACAAGTTTAAGCAAAAAGACAGTTTGTCTCAGCAATCACTGCCAAAGCATGTCTAATCCACTCAAGTAATTATGTATATTGTAGCCTACACTTATTACAGATTTGTCTGAACGATGCATGTTAGCTGTAATCAACAGGACTCTGTAAAACACACACATACACACACAAAGAAAGCTTCCAAATGAACCAACCTCAAGAATACGCCGCCACTTGCTTCCTGACAACTGCAAGGAAGGAGCACAAAAATGTCAGGTAGAGATGGAGGGCACCATATTACAAAATGACATCTCCCGGGGACAAGCTATAAAGGATTAGGTATGCAAGCATATACACACAAGTAA